TTACGTGTTCCATGTTCCTTTGTGGTTCTCTAGACTTGTAGCTGTTTAAGGTGAGGGGTTGATGACCCTCAATGGGTGACCTCCTTGGGTGTCCTTTTTGCTTGGTTAGCTTAAAAAATAGAGGGCCCTGGTTTAGATGGGGTTTATTCCATGTACCAGGACCATCTATTTTTCCGAAAGGCCGCCTATGGTGACCTCTGAGAATTTCCGATCTCCCAGGTGGGCGTGGCTGTGGAGAGCGCACTCGCCACTTCCAAGACCGATCGCTTGCGGGTGCTGCAGGAAGTCAACGCCAGGCGGCGGAGCAATGCAACAAATCACCTTTACCATTTGAAGAGGACCCCTTGTAAATGAGATGCTTTTGGGCTGTTGATGCGTGGGGGGCCACAGCTACCGTAAGTCGCCCAAGCGTGTGGCCCACATCACAACTACATGTGCATGCCCCACCCCCAAGAAAATGTTTAGTTGATCCACCTCCACTGAGGGGGCCCATTTCATGCGCTTTCCATGGGTTTCGCTTGGCAGGCAAATGCAATATGTATTATAAGCACTCTCATGATTTCGACGGGATGGGAATTGTGCAGCGCGTTGGTTCCTGCCCTTGCAGGTCAACAGTGACCAGCGGGCACAACCTTTTGGTGCGCATCTGGGCTGAGAGTCGCCTTTCATATGAAGCACAGTTGAATCAGACATTAATTGCTGTTTGCTTGGACCCTTTGCCGTTGACTGTTGCGGGCACGTCAATTTTCGTGAGCGATTACTCCTTTTTCAGGGGGCAGTTGCCATCAAGATATGTTTACCATCCTTCCAACAATCAGGAGGGTTCTTGAAGACTACGCTCAGCTTGAAAGGACTTCTTATTCACTTCCATGTTTGGGTGTAGGGCCGCTCCGGCAAGATTCCCCGGTTCGGAGCTGACCCTCTGAATTCACATCATGCCCTGGGCCAGAATTCCCATTCCGTTGGCGAAACATTTCACCAGAAACCACCTTGACCTCCGGCCAAGTGCGGTTCCTGCGGTATGGGAGCAGTTTCAGCCTTGGTACTCTAAGGGAAGCCAAAGAAAGGAGGTTGCTTACTGCCCGCATATGAACATGGACCCCAAAACCCCTTGATTTGAAGAGTCACCTTGTTTTGGGAGTTGACCCGCAGAGTGAACAGTTGTTGCTTTCAACCGTGGTTTAAAAGCCAAGTTTCAAGTGGACCAATGTGAGGGTATGAAACACGGGGTGGTGGGGTACAGAACCAACACCATCAAACATCCTTCATGATGGAGAAAAAACAGCTTTAGTGCCTCCCACCAATTCACATGGAACCTGACGTTCGGGGAATCGGTCGAACGGCAGGTCACTTCCAGGATTCCAGGACCCCTGTGTCAGGTTCTACGTTGCGAGGGAGGATAATCATAGCCGACCCCAGGAGGTGGCCAGATTCTTACCAGTTGGCTGCGGGTTCCTCCATAGGTACCCAAAATCGAACCCCAGACCCAGTTGAATCCATCGGTCCCAAGGCGCCGAGCTTCTGGGCCGCAAGATTCTGCGAGCGATCGGAGAGATGGGAACGGCTTCTTATCCGTGAGATAAGAAGCGTAAAACCACGGCTTCACTTGTGGTTTCCCTTTGAAATTCGCTTTTTAACGGGTACTCTCAAGAAAACAGACCTGCAGATGGAAACATGAGCCCTGGACTGGTGTGAGTGGGCTCAGGGAGCCTGGCATTTCTGAGGTCCTGGATGAGAAGAGTTGGGGAAGATCGTTTTAGACCAACAAGTCCGGACTCTTTCCAACCAATTCACCTGTGGTTGGTTTTGGACCCTAAATGGTGTCCCCCTTTCCTGAAGACCTGGGTGGTTCAGTGCGCCGCATGCTTTGTCGTTTGTTTAGGTTTGACGTTTCGACGTTGGCTCACGAGCGTCCAGGGGGCGGGGATACCTGCAAAGACTTGTTGAAGCAGGCTGAAGAAAAGGCATTCTTTGCGCTTCTACCAAACAGTGCCGAAAAGCTCCTGGAAGGATGTCACCCGTGAGACGGCGCGGTTGACTTCTTGGCGGATTGATTGTCAGACTTAGCTCGCCTTTTCATGTTCTGCCACTTCATTGCCCCTTTCAACTAACACAAAGTACTGGTTACGTTCTAATGCGGGCCCAGCTTGCATTCCGCAGGTCTAGCGTCTTGGTGGGCATGGTCCGGGCGGAACGCTTCTTCCTGTGCTTGGGCGCCTTTGTCTGCACCTGGGTACGTGTCAACATGGGGAGGCCCGACCAAGCTGGTTTCTCTGTTGGCTTCCTTGAAATCAAGCTGAAGAGGATACCATAAAATCCAAAAATAATTCACAGGTGTCACAGAGACTGAGGAACAACAGCTGGGGAACCCCATAGGAGCTGAAAAGCCAGAGTGGTAGTCGCACTGACGACTGCAAAGTAAGTAAGCAAGCTTGTAAGTGGACAAGTTTGTAACCAAGTAGGTAGTATCATGTAAAATGCGTCCGCCCAGCAAATGAATGGCCCGGGCGTCCTTCGGGTGAGAACGCATCGCTTGTGTCCGCCTGGGCAGATCCTGGCAGATACCTTTGCTTGGTGGATTGCACCAAAGACGGTCACCAGAGAAAGTTTTTGTTTTTTCAAGGGCTCTGGTTGCAATGTTGTTCGAATGCTTTCCCCCCGCCCGTGGGTTGCACAGGTCGCACGTTGCCTCTAGTGAGTGAATGAAGGGGTCAGGCAGTAAATAGAGATCTGAACAAAAACGGTCTGGACTTGGAAGTGACCGGAACCCCTCTCCTATCTTTATCCACGATTCCCCTGGCGCTGAACTTTGCTTGAAGGAAGTTCTTTTGGTCGACAAGGAGCCCGTCTCTCCAGCCTGATGGGGTCTCGGCGTGTTTGTCTTTGTCTCTTTTTGGGGACCTGGGCGGGTTCCAAAGAGAAGCCGAACGCCAACCATGGGATTCCCATGAGAGAGACGCCACCGCCGGTAGAAACGGGCGATCTCAGGTTACAAGTTGAAGTCCTCTCGGCCGAGCCTTGAGGAGGCACCTAAAGCTGGTGGTGAAAGTTGCGGGGCCGACGTCCGAAGTTTGGGTATGTGGGTGCCTCTTGTTTTTTAGGGTACCCGTTTTGGGGTGAGGGAAAACAAAGTTAAACTAACTGTTGTCAAATGAACAAAACACGTGGTCCTCTGTTTGGCTTCCCCTTAAGCCAACCGAGGGATACCTTGTCCCTGTATTAGGAGTTAGGGTCCCTGATGTGCTTTGGAGCATTTGCCACAGGAGAGAAGACTCGTAGCCGTGCACATCAAGTGAATGTTCTTGCCCAGTTCTTTGTGCCGAGCTCCTTAGGTTTGCGAAGCTTTCAGCCCACCCGGGAGTCGGGAGGCTCCCTCTAAAACAAAGCCTTACTGATGCTTAAGGCTTTGCAAAGGGGATGCCGTTTTCAACCTCAAACCCTCCATCTTACATGTTGGGTTTCCAAAAACATTATGGGGGCTGCAAAACCTGTCCTTGCGGCCTCGTGTGGAACCCTTGGCCTCAGAAGTCGGCTCAGCCCGGGACAAACGTGGCCTCCCCTTTGCTATTGACAGTTTCAGACACGACGGCTCTTGGACCAAACCACCAACTATTGGTAAGGCAAATTCCTTTGACGGGCGAGACGTGTGACCGGTTTTCCCCATTTTTGGGGTGAACGAGCGCCTTTTCGGTGCTAGTCCTTTGTGCTTGAAGCCCCTGGAGGGGAAATCTCCCAGAACACCAATTAAAGGGAAGCTGAAAAGGTGTCAGCTGCCTGCACATTCCAGCCGACCAATTTTGCTGGAGGGAAACCACTGATTGCGAGTTGGTGGCGCGTTGCTCAGGTCCCCTTTCCGAAATGGATGTTTGTAGTTGAAACTAAAGGGTCCTGATGTGTAGAAACCCACTTAAGCAATCAGGAGAGCGGGGCGGGCCACGCCCTCAGCAAACTATCCCAGGGGCAACTTTGTTATTCCTTCCAAGATCCCTTTCACCAGATCAGGAACCAGCCACAAGAACTATTGTTTCAACAACCTTTTGTTTCTTCCCCCACCCAAATATCCCCTACCCCTCTGAGTGGGCGCCAGGTGCAGCAAGAACGGCTGATCTCCAGCACCATAGCAGCATCCTCCCCAAAAAGGAAAAGGGCATCTAACTCCATGGGGGCACCCGTGGTATTCCTGCGGTATTCCTGCGGGGACCGTTTGAATCATCGAACGTTTCAGGCGTTTGTAGCACCGATGGGACGAAACGAGCCACCCACGATGTAGGTGCTCTACTTGAGGATCCCTGAATTCAGGTTTTGGAATTGTTGTAAAACAAATGTAGGTACGTGTCCTTGGGCCCCCTTGATGGCAAAAGGAACATTTAATACAAAACCAGGGCGGCCCTCATGACTTCATTTCCAGGGATGTTTCAGCGACAAGTTCCCTTGCACGGTGGTTTTGAATATCACCTTGCGCTTGCGGTGGAGTGATGTTGAAGGGGAATGTCTAGGGAACCCTATTTGACCATTGCATGCGGGAGCGCAAAGAGATGAAGTCTCGTTTGGATTAAGATAGTTCATGAGAAGATGCGAGCATGGGCATGAATCTCACATTGCAGTTGTGTTGGTAATCATGGAAGCCTTCGTTACATTGTCATGCCCGTCTGAAAAATTACACGATTCCTTGCTTTTTGTTGATGCATAGCGAGTTTGCTTCTCGCACTACTCAAAGGCAGCGCATGGTCCGTAGGAAAGATGCGCGGGACTAAGGCTTCTCCACCGATAGCAACCAGGCAGCAGATAGCCAAGGCGTGCAGCGGAGCCCCGAAATTTCATGGGATGTGAGGCAGCCCCTATGCACGCCCGCTGCTCTCCCAAGAAAAGCTCCTCACAAGGCTTTTGTAGAAAAGGACAGACAGCCCGGACACTGACCCCAACGTTGCACGGGCTGCATTATTTTCAAGACCACAGTCTTCCAAAGCCCGGCGGCATCGCAAGGGTGATTTTCCGCAGCCATGGGCCAGGAAGATGTTCTGATTTTTTGTTTGGCTGCTGGGCTTTTCAACATCAAGCCTTCGTCCTTATGAGAGATAACAGTGCGGTCCCCCTTGTGATTGGTGGCGCCACCGATTGCGGATTTGGATTCCCCCACGTTTATTTAGACACTACCCTTGGCTGCTATTGGCTTGGATCTTCAACCTTCAGCTGTGCTACCCTCGCCAAGAAGTTCTTTACTCTTCTTCATTTATTTTTTTTTTGGGGGGGGGGGGGGCGTTTGCCAGATTTTTCAGGAGTTTGTGCCCAAAACGCCAATTGGTGTGATGCTTCAGGTCCAGCCCCAGAGGAAGTGACCATGGCTGTGCCTGAGCTGATCAACTCCGCAGAGGCACGCCTTCCAAGCAGAAGTTATGAACATTCTGATTACCCACGCAGCATGTGTTTGTTTGTACCTAAACTTTTCAGAACTCAAGGCGTATTTAAACAAACGGTAAGAATATTTATACCGTTTGGATAGTGTTGATTGGTATTATTGTCTTCTTCAAAAGGTACTGCTGAATATGTGTTGTTTCCCGACTTGTTTGTATTTGTCTAGATGAGTTTGATCCTGGGGAGGGGGATGGTTGCAGCGTACCCTTTGCAGATTGGTTAAGGGACACCAGGGGAACACTACAATCGGGTGGGCCCTGCCCGTAAGAAGAATGGGCTTGTGGGGCAATTTAAAGAAATTAGGCCATGGTCTAGGCAACGTGTGTGTAATTGTTTGGCCCCTTATGGTTACCCAGACCTCCAACAATATAACCTTGGGCAAGCTGCAATGCACAACGATTTTAAACGAGCGAAAACCAATGAAGGTCCTCAAGGGTCTTCTTTATTTCCAGTCTGTGAGTTGTAGAAAGGTGCCCAGATGGCCTCAACCAACCGAAAGGGCATCCGTGTTCTGTTAACGATCCGGGACAGCTCGATGTCCCGACCAGAAGCCACGGGAAGTTTCAGAGGTGCCCGGGTGCGACGCTGCATTCATACTATTGTCTCAGTCATTTGCCAACCAAGAATTTAAGAGTTCTGGAACACAAGAACTTGGAACGCGGAAGGACATGATTAGCATAAATCATGTTTTACAATATATATAACATGGTTCCAATACATGGCTATTCAATATGTTTATCTTTTGTTTATTGATTGCTAACTCCATTCCTTGTCTACCAGGGAAAAGGCAAGCAACAACTCAAGCATATGCTGTGTCTATGGATGAGTTCCTTGGGATGCTCTTTCTATCTCCTTCTTGTGCCTCTTGTAGATTCTGGAAGTTACCCCCGGCATACTCTCGCATATTGGTTCGGTCTTTGGAGGTGAAGCATAGCAATTCTCAGCCAAGAGCAGGCTATATGAAAACAAAACAACGAGCGGGAATCATGGGAAGAGACATGATACGCGAGAATCATACATTAATGATAGACATATCGAGTTGTCTTAATCATTTATCTCTTCATAGCATTTCTGTATTTATATATATATATATATATCACTTCAGAAAGGGTCACTCGCAGAACAGCGCTTCCGTATTCTGTGTCGGACGGCGTTTATCTCAACTTGAAAAGCGGACTCCCTCAGGCTCAGTGCCGTCGCATGAGGTTCAGTTGAGTTTCCTCAAGCTGAAATGTTTAACTTCTTCTTCTGGTCTGCTGGTGCGGTGTTTTCGGGGTGGGAACTAGTGAGAGCGGGCCACCTTGGTCTCTTGACTTCGTGAGTCAAGAAACCTCCGCACTTGGCACTGTTGGTTTGCGGGATTAGCCACTTTTCCGGATTCCCCGTTCGTGGCTGGTGACTTGTAGGCTATAGCGGCTATACGCACTGAACTGACGTTCAAGCATGTGAAGAGCTTGAGCAGGGGACAAACCGATGCAAATGGGTATGTTTTCTGTTTTAAAAAGTTTCCTCTTGGGGTTATGTTGCACGACAGCCACAAGGCAACTCATCGCTTCCCCTTATCTTGCCAAAAAATCGCAGAGGTGCTGCATTCCAATTTGGCTGACCCTCATCCTCGCCAGGTCTACCAGCTTTACCGTGGTGCCTCTGGTGAGGAGGGTGACCTCGTCACGGAGAAATGCCACATTTGGGCGGCTCAGCTTTTCATTTTGAGCCACGTCCCCACCATCCCTCGTAGGATAGAGCGCTAAAGGAATACTCAAATGGGAGCACCAGGTGGAAAACGCTGCCGCATCCGAATCGTGTGCTAGAACCGAAGCTTTTCGAGTTCAAAACTGTCGGGTTCGTGAAGATGTCGTGCATGCCACCATTTTGGGCATGCCCGTTTCGACCCACCTGCGGTGCACAAGTATTGCATGGAAAATGATCCATCTCCACCCACCCCAGCCAGCCCAACCACCCACAGCCCCCAACCTCCAGCTGCATGTTGGGTTCCTCGGCCTCTCCGGTAATGTGGGGATTTGAGCCCCTGGTTCTAGAAGGTCAACGGGAAGCCACCCCTGGAACACCTCCGAAAAACCAATCCAAACCACCAAACAGATGGAAGCTGAAGATTTGTGTTTTCCTTTGGTTTGCCTTGAAACCCACTCCAAGAAGTCGAGGGAAGAGCCTCCAGCCGGCGTTTCAGGTGGATTTCCCGAGTTTGCGCGTGGCGGTGGCGGAGTTCGACAAGCCGGCGCAGCCTCTGAACTGCATCTCCCTCCTGGAGATCTCCTGGTGCCACTGCGAAGACGCCCAGGACGCGGATCCGCGGTTTGCCACCGGAAAAACGCGCGCGGACCGACTTTTTCGAACGGCTCAACTGGTTGGTTGGTTTTCGGCGCCCGGAAACATATGCAAATCCAAGCGCAAGCCACGGGGAAAGTGCAGGGATCCCCTGTGGATGCCAACATGTTGCAAAGCAGGCTGTGTGGTCAGTTTACTCTGAAATAGTTGGATATATTTGCAGAGTTTATTGGCTTCGCTTTTGTCGTCCCCGTAAACAACTCTCAACAGCTAGTGAGTCCCAACGTTCTAATAGACCATTAGCTGGGTATGTCTCAAAGCAGGGGAGCAGGAGAATGATAGTGCGGTTTGCGTGGACTCCGTGCCGGTAATGTGGCGAAGTGGACAGATCAACACTTCAAGTGAAGAAGGAAAAGGTACACAGCATAATACGATAACGTGTAACCCTACATGTAACAGGGTCAGGGTGTTATTGTTTATGATTCGGTGCGTTGAGAGAAGAAAAAGGGGAAAATGGGGTGTGCTGCCCTGTTATACTCACTCCGTGAATTCCTGAACTGGTGGCACGTTTATGAGTCATGGGAATGGGCTTCGGCATCGCAGGGCTGATGTGAGAAATCTTGGGCAAGCGATATTCATTACGGCTGGCAACCGGATATGCCACCCATGAAGCCAGATTGGGAAAAGCGAAGTGCATTTTGAAGAGCAGCGTGCAGTTGTTCATGGACATCAACAACATCCTGTTGTCAAAGCAAAAGCTTGCCCCCAATAAAGTTGCTCTATGCCAATGAACAGTTAAGGAACCCAACCGCAGGTTCTTTGCGAAAAGAAGAGGCTCCTTCACAAAGAGGGATTTTTTCCAGTTCCAGTTGTTCAACAGCACATGTCTCCCTCCTTTGCTTCCCTTTCGGGCTGGCCAAGCCAGGAAGACACACCCAGCCGCCTGGATCTCTACTGCGCGGTTTGCTCAAAGGGCAGCCTGCGCTTTCCCGCCACCTCCGAGAAGCCTCGGATCCGCGCCCACTTGGCTGCAGGGGCTCCATTTGGCCATCAGCTTTAAGAAATGGAACCACCTGCAAAGTGGTTGGCAACAACACTCCCTGAGTTGCTGGGCTTGAAACTACCTATGAATTCCGATGTCCACCAAAAAGTGTCCTGTAGAAAGCTTAGGCGGCTGTTTGGGGGGATTTTTATCCTGAAATTTGCGCGAAGACGCGAGTTGCCACAGATCAAAGCACTGGTCGCACCCGGGCAATAGGCACCAAGAAAAGCGCCCTGTTGCATGGCGGATTCACCAAAAATGGTCAACCACAAAAGCGGTTCTCGTTTGCTGGGTGAACTGTGCCACTGTTTGGGCCAAAACTCAGCTTCTCCTTTCCGGTTCCGGGCCAAGCCGAAGACCAATAATGAAGAATGAAGTATGCCTGGTTTTGTGAATCATGTGTGATTGGCTCATGAACTGCCATTTGTGACATCTGTGAAAATGGATGTTAACCTGCTAGAAAACGATGAAGACTGGCCGGTTTCACCATTTTGTTTAGTCCCAAGTCTCCTGGCCAGCTCAGGCGGTCAGCTTCAGCTGGGACACGGGGGACCTGCTATTTCGCGTTTTGAAGGGGTACGGTGAATATCGTGTTTGCCAAGCTTCATGGAGCTGTCTTCGGTGATTAATGTTTTAAAGGCATTGCAAGGAGCCTGCACAAAATGCTGGGCTTGAGGCGGATAGCCCAGTTGATTTTTGGATCTTCATAGGCGTTGGCCCGGCCAGGGCAAGATATTTTCAGCAGCCTCAGGTCACTGGCCAAAAGCCCCTGCACATTTTCGGAGACCTGGCAGCATCCAGCTGCTAGCCCAGGTCCATCGCCAAATTCAACGAGAGTGAGTCAATCACTGTGAATTGTTGGACCACGGGTGTCTCAAAATTGGGGAAACCCAAAATTAGTGGTGTCCTTGAGGTGACCGCCTGGAACATCGGAGGCTTCCAATATGTGTTGGTTTTTTGTTTTTTGTGGTTTGTCGTGTGGATCCCACTCAAGTCCTGTTTCGCACGTAACAAAGCGACTCCTCAGGACTCGCCCTGCAGAAGCTGTTGAAGAGTCGGGATGAGGAGGGCCGCGGGCGACTGTACTTTATCCAGCGCAGGCTCTTCCAGCGACTCAGTCGGTGTCGGGATCAACGTTCGGACCGAGTTACCCCCCAACGGGCGGTTTGGACCTCAGCTTCTGGCAATGTTGAATGGGAAACCGCCCCCCGGGACACCAAATCAAACGGATTGGTTTGCAACTTCGTATTTGCACCTCTGCTTCTTCAGGGTCAATGGGAATCCCCCGGCACACCTGCAAACCTCATCACCCAGGCAGCTGAAGTTTGGGACCATCTTACAATGAACAAGAGAAATATGGAAAATCCTTGGTTCAGTAGCGTAGTGAGCCATTTTGTTGTTTGGTAATTTATCAGGGACCCGGAAAAACGTTTTCTAATAGACGGGCGCCCATCGCTTGCACCAAAGAACACACTCATTGCGGTCATTTCTGGATGTCTGGTGCCTTTTACCTCCAGCGTCGGAGGTCTGGATGTTGGTCATTTCCCCATGCTTTTCCAGGGATTCCCTGGAAGACCCTATTCCCTATCAGAAACCCTCTTTCAGGTGCCATGTTGATTCTTGTGGGATTCCTGCAAGACCATATTCCCCAACACCCTCTTTCGGTGCCATGTCGATTTTCGGGGGAGGGTAAATTGAATTAAGTATGCACCTGGACGTCCAAGAGGTCGAACGCCTGCTCCACTGAGGTACCTGTGGCGATCCGCCCAGCTCGCCATGTCCGAGGATCCCCTGCTCCATGCGGTGAGGGTAGGGCTTGCCCAAAGCGAATCGACCTTTTAACCTTTGGTTTTCCCATTGTGGTCCATTTCGATACCATTTATTTCCTGAGGTAAGGGTATGCTTCAGAGGTCTCATGACATCAGGTATTGTACCCAAGTAATTTAAACTTTGGGATCTAAACTGGACAACCCAGGTGCGTTGGTCAACGTTTAAATTTAAAAGCTGTGTTCAGATGTTTTCATTGGCCCAAAAATGGCCGACTGGCCGGAGCGTCAACTCATGTTAGGTAAACATATCGTCCCTTTGATAGAGATGGGACCACTTCGCTTTGTGACAAACGTTATGTTCCACAAGCATTCATCACCCTCCCTTACCTCCAGGCAACGGCTCGAATGCGGATATGGATCCTCAGCATATGAAACCAGTGCTAAAAGGGTTGACAGCCGGAGGGAAGAACGGGTGGAAGCTGGTTGGAAGGGCGTCCAAACTGGTTTCGAGTTTAGCAGGCAATCCTCCAAACACCCGAAAGATCCGTTGTGGTTTCCGAAGTTTCCGCCGACCCGAAAAACTTGTTGAAAGAAAGGCAAAAGATGCCCGAAGGCGTGATGAGACTTATGCCCAGGATCGATTTCCCAAAATGGACAGCTCGGAGCTTACCCTCTCACCATGGAAAGGATGGGTTCCAAGGTGGACGAAAGGCGCCAAGATGGACCCAAAACCATCAAACACTTCCTTTTGCGGGTTGTCTGGGGGATGGCCTTCTTCCGGGTTTTGGGAATGAACTTTTTGGGATTTCTTTAGGAAACCACATCGGCTTTTTTTTTAAGGGTCGTTCCATTTCTCATGCCCGTTTGTCCATCGAGGCCTGTCTTCTAATCATCGGCTTCGCAGGACCGCTTGGTGGAAGCCCAGGCGGTTTTGGCCTTCAACCTCAACCCCAAGGACTCGCCGACGTGGCCAAAACCAACCCCGCTTGGTCGCTGTTGTTTGCTTACGACCTGCGGGAGAACAAGAAGCATTGTTTTCGAGTGTGTTGTTTTTTTGAAACAAGTCCATTTGCTTGAGTAACTAGTAATAGTTAAGTTTATTAATGCATGCTTACTTAGTGTTGCGAAAAGAAGCTGGGGTTCCCGTTTCCTTGATTGAATCAGCCAAGACAAAGCTCAAAGGGTGTCCGTGGTTTTTTCCGGCAGGTTTGCGTTTGCGATTGGTTTGGGCAAAGAAAGAGCCAACCGACCGGGGGGGGGGCGGGGGGTACATGGCTTCTTCCTCGTTTCCGATTGAAAGTGATGTGCCCAGATATATGACGAAGACCAGTCACTTTTTGCGGACCCAGGGGTCGGGGAGGCAATGAGCCAACACAGGCTAGTGCGGCCAGGACGGCATTGCCTATGTCAAGAGACACTTGGCATTGACGAGGATTATTAATCAACCCAAGTAATTCACCAGGGGGGGTCCCTGGGTTTAGTGAGAATCATCGCTTTTGGAGGGGAACACCCCCATATTCCTAAACTGGGGTTGATTAATATTGGGACAACGTTACATTGCCCCTTTTGCTGGGCTTCGGACATGGGCCAATTCAATGGGAGTCTCCTTGCAGTGATGGAAGCGGGAAACTCTGAACTTTTCCTCGGGGCAGGTGGTTTGGGGTGAAACAAAATCGCCACCTTTGAAGAGCTCCCAGCAACTTTGGAGCTGAAACTTCTTTGCAGGCAATGGGGTCAACATTTGGTGACATACATCTGTGCCCCTGACTAAAATGATGATAATAGACCTGATTAAAAACATAGATTTGGGGTTGAACCTTGGCACAGGCATGCGGCACCCCCAGAAATGGTTGATCGCCTTCGGCTGCTTTTCAGAATCCAAAGCGAATTCCCGGCGATAGCAGCACCCTCATATCTGAGCGGTTGCTTTCCACTTCTCAGTGTGCAAACATCACTTTTGGGGTTGTTTGTGTAGATTGTGGGATCCATTTCTGGGTGGAGACTATCCCGTATTCAATTTACCAGCTACCAAGAAATGAAGATGATGCGTTTTTGCTCCATTCGGATCCACTCACCAGTTTCTGGGCTTGAACCGCACACATCTTCACTTGAGCCTGTGTCCCAGGAAAGCTGAAGAAGACCACAGAGGATGTCGCTCAGCTCAAAACGCGCAGAACCGGTTTTGGCAAAATGGATATCAGAAGGAACATCAAAACCTGGCTGGAGATGTCTCCCGAAAACTTCCATTTTCTTAAGGCTATGTTTTCCCTGTTGGTTTTAAATAGAATCTATCATTGCCCCAAGCAGGAACTCACTTCCAACTATGGCGCCTGGCAGGAGGTTCCTTCACGAGGAAATCGATCTTTCTGGTACCCTCGCACAGGCGGCAAATGTGGAAGGCACCGAAAATGTTCCCCGGGTTTGCTGCGCGCAAGTGATTGCGGTGACTTTCCCAAAGCGGGTTTGGTGAGCGCAGGTTGCCCTTACAGAGAAGTGAGGAACATGTGACAAAAAAAAACATGACTTTGAGGGGTAGCCGCCTCATTTTGAGAAAAGTGCCGCCGAGGAAATCGGCGAGTGGCTGGGACAGGTTTGCACTGAGAAGGGCGGCCTCGATCCCACAATGCTAGGACTCCGTGCGGTTGACTCTGGGCTGGCGCCTGTTGCACTACATTTGTTTGGAACAACATTCACGTGGGGCATTGTTTGGATTAGTCTAATGATGTGACGGTTGCATGAATGGAATCTCGCAATGTGTTCCGTCTCATAACTTTGGTCACCCCTGGTATACTCTGCATTCACAAGTGTCATTGATCCCATGGTGCACGCGACTGCAATGCTCACCTTGCCAAGCTCACAGTTTGTTGGCTGAGTCCATGGCAAACGCCGGGCTTGGCCTTCGACACGTGCACGTTTGGGAGGAGACTACTTTAGCAGAAGAGATACTCTGCAGATCTTCTGGAACTTTGTTCGCCGTATTGCCCGCGCCTTAGTTGGCTTCCGTGATATATGAGTCTACAGGCGAGGCGGGTGTACACTGTACATCTTGGTTTCGCTCTCAGTACGGAGATGCGAGCGTTCGGGTTGATAGCCGGAGCTGTTCTTCAAGAGGCCAGCAAGTCACTGAACAGCATCCGTCATAGACAGGCCCCCCAAACACATTGACATTCTTAACACGCCCACGACATCCCGCAAAGACATCCCCGAACACGCCCTAAGGATGCGCCCTCAACTAACCCAACAGCAAAACCATGTTCAAAGCCTTCCAACGCACTTTGCATCCAACTTTGGCAAACAGTTGCCACTCTTGGGTGGGCTGCTAAAGTAAAATTTGTGTACGACTTGTGTGCTTAAAAGTTTGGTGACTTTTGAGCCCCCCCATACTGCGAAGGGCTGCGCCTGCTCACAATTTCGATGTGCGACCCCTCCAAAGTGAGGCGCCTGCTACGGAATCTTCACGCCAGTGCTTCAAGGTGCTGCGCCTGCGACAAAGTTCTGCGCGCGACCCACGAGAAGTGCCACAAATTCCAACTTTGACACGTTCAGCAAGCCTATCCAAAATCAACATGGGACTGCAGAGCCAGACCGATTTCAATCGGTTGTGACAAATGTTAAGCTCAACCACCGATTGTGCGACACGCAAACGAACATGCCACTCAAGCAAGCGCTTGAGCGCGCGTGCCAAGCAAGACACCTCAAAATGGCTGGCCCTGAAATGCAAATCGCATTGGCACGGCACAGCAACGCAACCACGCAACCTTTGGCGCCTTCGCAACGAAATAGCGCGTCCCAAATCAATCGCCAGGCAACTAACTCTCCGGATCCCCAATGGCCCGGCTGCCCTCACTGGCGGCTTGCGAACCTTTTTTGAACACTTTGGGACCTTTAAACATCAATCCTTCGGCTGCGTATTCGGGGAGAAAAGCAAGCCCTGGGGACCAATGTGCTTTAGGCCCCAATGTTCTTCGGCATCTTCTTCAGGCCACCCTTAGCTGGTCGTTTGGATTTGCTTTGTTGGGATGGTTCTTGAGGTAAATTGGAAATTGCCCGACCTCCAATTTGATCCAATCTGAACTGGGTCACCGTGTGCGGCCAGCTTACATCTTGGCCCTTGACTAAAAGGCAAAGATGTGCATCCTAGTTGGATCAAACGTCGATCCAGCAGGTCGCAAACTCGAGTGAAGCGGATTTATGGCATCAGGACTTCTCGCAGATGGATATCGTGGCAGCGCTGCGCCAGCTCTTTGACACCTTCAAGCCGGGCGGCGAGGGGCAGGCGGAAACGAATCCGATGGGAATCCGATTGGGTGGACCTGCATGTTTGGAAGGGTACAGACTCTCAAAGCCTTCCATTTTCGGGGGGTGGGGTTCGACTGGACTTCGCTTGGGGTCATGTTTAGCGGGGGTGTCCCCCACAGCCATTGCTTCAACATGTTTGCACTAGGATTAGTTCAAAAAGTATAACTTGCTATTATAAACGGGCTATTCTTCAACTCGTTTGTCGGGTTCCATGTTCATCGGGGCAGTGGGCCTCCCTTTGGCTTCCCTTGGGGACCAGAGGTGCTTTAAGCAAATTTCGCCGAGCCTGGTGGAATCGGTGCATTGATCAACCATGGAAGTCGGAGAGGCAAAGGGAAATCAGGAGACCCGCCCGTTTTTTGGACCAAGCTGTTCACCTGTTTTGGGGCCCAGAAGCTCGGGACTTGGAGGCAAAGCAGGTTTGGGCTTGGAAAAGCAGGGAGACAGGGGCGATGCTTGAAGCCTTTGGCCAAGGACACCCTTCACGGAGCAGAGTTGTTTGACGAGGTTCTACGGCCCGATTGGATGGGAGACCCGGACACCGGCCTTTCATTCACCCTGTGTCTTGGGGGGATTCGCCTCACATGGACCTCAAACGATTTGGACAGGAACGTCAAGAGAGCTTGCCTCATGTTCCATGAGTGGGGATGGCCAAGAAAACTGGTTGCCATGGGTCGATGTTCAGAGGGCCTATGAAGCTGGCCCAAAGGCTGCCGAGAAGCAAAGGCCGAGGTTTCGCCGCGGCCAAAATCAGAACAACCCACAGGAATGCGTTTCCATACTGGAAGAGATGCAAGTAGACACCCTCCACTCATGAGAGTTCAAAGTGTTTGGGAAATCTTGCAGAACCTTCAACCCTCGAAAAAAGCACAATTTGCTTTCTAAGCATCTCCCGAACGCCTGCGGCGCCCGTGGGTTTTGACCCAATCGGATCCCTATCGGCAACATGACTCCGAAACGGGGCCCCAAAGGTGCCCTGGTTTCTCCGCATTTCTTTCACCAATACTTCTCCACAACCAGGCAAGTTAGTAGGGCAATGTTTTGAAAAAGAAGGATGAAGAGAAGGAAAGTGCAATGTTCCCCTTTTCGACCGGTGGAACTGTCCGAACCTATCAGCTTTCGTCGTGCTAGGTGATTACACGGATCCTCGAGTACTTCGCGGAATCCTACTATCAGCTGCTCGGACGTAAATTGTGCTGAGGCCAAGTGTGGCAAGGGAACACGAAACAAATGTGGCAAGCCGGTCAAGTTACGTGCTAAATCTAAGTCCCTTTGAGGGGCACTTGTTTAGAACCCAAGTTACTGTTCGGGTGGGCTCGTTGTTTTCACTACCTCCATGCGTTAGGGGACTGATACGCTTGATAGACTGACCTACACTGAGCTCGAGACTAGTCTCTGCTTGTTGCTCCTGATTTCTGTTCAGTGCGTGGTTTCTTAACTGAAAAGCCGTGCTCTACAAGCGATGTTTTTTTGCAAGGGACTTCTTCGCAGCCAGGAAAGTGGATGAACGTTGCATGTGCACTGAGTAGGGTTCAGTGGATTTTTGGCCAATTGTGTCAGAAGCTGCCCACATCTTGAACCAAATAGTTCATGGCATGTGTTTGCTTTATTTAGACAGTCTGGCATGTGTCCAGTCAGACTGAAGCCTTTCCAGATTGGTCAACCGCATCCCCTCCATATGAGGATGAGTGTGTCAAGAGTTTGGGCCCCGGGTGTTTAGCAATTTTAGTAGAGCCGAATCCATTGCGCTTATGCGAAACAACAGAACCAGCTCGGTTTGGTAAGCACGCTTTGTAGCCGGCTGTATCATAGCCATGGTGAGGCCTGGGGCTACTAGGGACGACCGTGAAGCGTGTTGATCATGCCGCAATATGAGTATCATTCCAACACCTGACCATGCCGGGCAAGCACATGGATACACTGATGCACAGTTGTGGGATTGCGCGCCGGACAATTGTCTTTCATACCAAGAACACCCTCCTCTCTTAAGTGCCAAAGTAAGTCATGAGGATGGCGAATGTTTAGTATCATAGAGGGAGCCATTGCGCCACAAGTATGGATGTACGTGCAGTGCCAAAATCAGGATTTCCTTTTTTGGGGTACGTTAGAGAGAAGTCAACGGCAAAGCAGCGATTTGTACGTGTTGTTTTTTGGACGCGTGTCGCTTTTTTACTCCCCATTCGCAGGCAGTGGGCCAAAGATCCGGCAGCGATGCAGCCAGTTTGCGCGTATGCAAATTCAGACACGGTGTTCCAGGCGGGAATGGGCAACGAAGACTGGGAGCGCGACATAGTGGCCCTTTTCAATTCCCTGTACCCCCCATTTGTATACCAAGGAGTATGGCGTAAGGATTTGGCGGTGAAGCCCTTACAAGATTGGATGCCGCCTTAGCCATCTGCAGTTATCTCAAAGAGTTTCATGCCGTCCCAGATCCCGCCCAAAGCAGGCATGATTGCTAGATGGTTTCGGAGTTTATGGTGTCAGTTCCTCTGACATTTGGCTGTGGTCAAAATATGTACCCAAAATGGCATCCTGGTAAATGGAAACATGGACCAAAACCTCCGGTCCCCTGGTGGTTTAATTTTGACCCATTCCCATTTGGCCACACATTGGCCATTGGAACCCAACATATTCACTGCAATTCCTCGCCAGGTGGCCGTCAGCATCTTGGATGCAGCCATGCAAAGGCGAGCGCCGCATGTCCACAAGTTCCGGCACGACGACGCATGTCTCACGTAAAGACATGGGGGTGTGCTGCAAATGTGGGGTGCGTGCCTCCTATAACATTGGGGAACCCTACCCCGTTGTGCTTCAAAATGACGAAGCAAAAGGAGGCCCACATATTGTTCAGGGGCCCATGAACAATGGTTGGCAAGTTGTTGTGAATCCTTTAGTCGTCCCTATTTAACACCCAGGTTCAGCAACAAAACTATAATAGTAGCCATCCGCTGCCCGGTTTCTATATAGGCCATAGACTCTAATATGTGTATGTTCCCGCTGTCCCGCGGCTTTGTTGCTGGTTTTTCTGCCGAGGCTTGATCATGCTGAACACCGGTTTGCACGTGGCCGCCAAGAAGCTGGGGAAGAAAGCGGCCAGCGCCAGCATGAGCCTGGAGGAATACATTGCCAATACGAGGCGGGCACGGCTCTGGCGCAGTGGGCGCAGTTCGCGGGCCAAAACGTTGGTCAGGGCCCCCCCAAAAAAAACAGGGGCACCTGGAAATGGTTCCCAAAAGGAGCCCAAGAAAGTCCCTAATAGACCCTATTAGTCACTATTAGCCCCAATGGGCTCCTATTGGGCAGCCCTTGGCAACGATAGGATCCGGGTACAAAACATCGCCCTTTCTAGGGAGTTCAGTCTTAGCCCATTCTTTGCTTGGCCCTCAGGACGTGAGGAAACGAACCAACCCACCAACCCTGTCTCATTGGATCACTCAGGGTTGAATGGGCAAATCTGCCCTATACAGATTCACTAGAACCCAAGAAGCCCTCAGTTCCTGAGTTCATGGACTTTGAACTTTTTGGGCTGGACATACTGGACCATCTTCGTAATAAACAGCAAGGTCAGACTCTTTTTGGCCAACCCACTCAGGAACCCCGGAAACCATCCCTTCATCTGGATTCTTTGGGAACCTCCAGGGGTGTTTGTGAGGACGCTTGACTTGGCCCAGGCGTTTGGTCTCGGCAGAGGAGGTCCCAGACGAAGCCCTAAGGGCCTGGTTTGAGGATATCAGAAGCTTGGCAGGGGCCAAACTCCACGAGCTGTTTCTTCGGGCGGTTGTTTTGGGGGACCAGCAAATGAGCACGGGGTTGGGGGCATCTATTGTACCACAAAACAACGAGCAAGCGAGGAAACGGGGGCTTGCCATGCGTTCACGCTACGGCCGGAGCATGCTACAGCAGCCAAACAGTACTGCACAAAGGAATAAGGGAGCTTTCCATGTATTTATTCCTATAAGGACTACTGTTGGATTTCAAGTTCTAATGATATAGGCCCTGTTGGAAGGACCTTTGGCACCCACCGAACAATGATCAGAACCCTTCCATCGCCCCGAACAGAATGTCTAAGAGCCTTGGGTGTTGGGTTGGTTTCTTCCCTGCCAGTGAACAATGTGTGTCTTGCTTCGGTCTTGTCGAGAAACAACTGCTCCTGTTGTTATAGATGTTCTTGTGTTTGCTAAGCGGCAAAGTATAGAAAAGCTCGCCCTATTCTTCAAGCCCCACGCAGGCAATGGACATCGTCAGATCACACACATCATTGCCCCTCATTGCCCCTGAATACCATGACGATGATAGAACATAGTTAAATTCTAGGTTCGGGGTTGAAGGTTGATCAAGGTCAGGTGACACCGGGTGGATTCACTCGCGCGCGTTTGATTCAATCGGCCGGCTGTCCACTGGCAATTCAGCCAACGCTTGGATCCTGAATGCACATGCAATCACCAAACTTCCTGTGGGTCAAGGCACAGCAAAGGCGCTCCGCAGCTTCCCCAAAACAAGCAGGACATGCCAGCGTTTTAATTGTGCTCCTTCACTCAGCGCGATGAGGAATGGTGAACACATGGCACATTGTATGTCGCCTGGCTCAGCCAAAAAGAAGCCAGAAGTTCAACTTGTCCCTGCCTGTAGTTGAGTCTCACCCAAATTGTTAAAGCTGTTTTAGGAAGCTACGACACAATTCCTTGAGAAGTGGAGGAGCGTGGGTCCTTTGAAACCTTGGGAGAAAATCTTGATGCTCAAACTCTTCAAGCTATGTTCATTCACGTGGCATCCTTACATTTACCTTCTAATTCGGTCGAAGAGCCTCAAAAGTTTGTGTTTAGAACCCCATTTATTAAAGTTTTTAGAACCCAATTTATTATTCTTATTTTTTAGAACCCCGTTTATTTTCAGTGCCCGTGCAAGATGTCCCAAGCCCCAGGTTGTACAGAAATCTCTGTGGAGCCAATGCCGCGGACGCCTTTTTCGAAGCTGCCAGTGCAGCCGAACATCGAGGGCTGGCCCTTCGGAAGAGGTTGTGTTTCCGCGACCAAAATCCCTAAAAAGTACGTGTTTTGGTGGTTCAGGGCTCCCGAAAAGATGCATGTTCGGCTTTTTCCACCAAAATAAGGGGAAACCACCATTTTTCAGGTGTATAATGTAAGGAACCCTGTGGTTCTACTGATTTCGTAAACCAGGGGGATATAGTAAGGGCTACGTGAATCTGTATAGCCATCTCGGTATCAATGGGTTTTAGGAGCTGCGCACTTTCCAAAGCGAATCAACCCTACCTTTTCGGTTTCCCTTCTGGGCCGATTTGTTTAAGGTCAAAGATCTCAAAAGGGGAACTACCGCCCAACCCTGGATCAAATGGCCCGAGCAGGAACGTATTCAGACCTCAACTTGCCGGTTGCTATTTTGGGCAGGCCAAGGACAGCTTTGGGATGCTTGGAATTTGAATGCCCTTTTGTTTGGGATCCCTATCCCTATCTCAGATAGGAATCCACAAGGGAAATGCAATAACAAAGCGTTTGGGCCTTTGGCGGCAGTCTAGATGTTTGTAGTCTCCCTGCCTCAGTTCGCAATACATAGATGTTTGATAGAATCCGTTGTGCAGAATGGCATGATTGTTCGAAATTCATCTTCAACCCTGCCAGATGCTGGTGTTTGCCTTGGTCTGGTGGTTGCCTTGGTGTCCGACTATGGAGTTCTGATTGGAATTCCTTCGGCATCTGCATTTTGGGCAAGGCAGTTGCAACAGCTACAAACTTGGTCCACGTGCTTGATTGGCCCGGCTTGCGCTCAGGCTGGTTGCTGTATTGAACGGCACCATTCTGCGCTTTTGGGCGGTCTTGGCTCCTTGGCCCTTTGCTGAACCTTTGTCCCTTTCCTTTGGGTGCTAAATTAAAAGGCCTACGTGTTTTGATTTTCCAGGAAAGTCAAAAGGGGAGTTATATTTGCTTGATTTGTTGGAGCCCCTAGGTTTCACCCAGCATCCCTCCTTTGAAGAATTGGGTCTGTTACTTTTTTGGAGCGTGTCGTAAGGAAACCAACAGACGCACCACAATTTTGAGGGGGCCCAACTGCCCCAAAAACGGAAGCCTTCTTGTCTCACGGCCACTGGGGCCTTGGGATACAGTCTGTTAGAGTCTCGTTTGTGCCTGTTGTTTCAGACGGATCTCGCGGCGTATCTCAGCTTTCTTTCGGGAGTCAAAGCGGCTGATCCGCCGCTAGCCTACGGACATGGGTGTTGCAAGCCTTTGCGCATGTTAAGGTTAAAGCCATCAAGGTTGCATGCCAGCAACCAGTGTTCCCTCAAATGCTGCTGCACTGCAACAAATCGATTTGCAGCGTGCTAAATGTGGGGTCCATGTTACATGCGGCAGGTGTTTGTTTGATGGGGATCCTAGTGGCCGCCGGAGATTGGTCGCGAACTTGCCAGCATGTGCGAACGATGGAACCTCCAATCCTTGGTAAGATCTTGTCACGGATGGCTCAGATAGCACAGGAATGGTGATTGCATTTTGTGTGTGTGTCATGCGTCACCTGCCTTGTTACGCCCTGTCATGGAGTCTCGTTGTTGTTTGGCACATGTGGGTAATCACGATGCCTTTGTTGATGCCTGGCTTGAGTTCAGCTGGCGTTCAAACCCTGAAAGAACGTGTTTCTCGTGCCCCACTGCTCAAGGGACGCATTCAGAATTGCCGAAACCGGGGATCTTGCTAGCTTCTCGCAAGAACGTTCGGGAAAACCAGGGATCAATTTGCTTCCCCGTTTTGATTCAGGTGCTGCAGCGTATCTACCTCTTCTCGGACTCCGTCGGGGACGTGGACCCCGCGGACGTCATCGACCTCAAAGACATTGCGGTGGTGGCTCTCCAGGCACGGTGAAGGGTGAGGCCGCGGGTTCGCACCACAGCCAAACCTGAAGTGTGAACAGGTTCTCAAAAACGTCATGGGTTTCCACATGAACTCGATGTTGAAATAGTCCCATGTCCATATCCGTTTCCCACTTCAGATCCCCGAAGTAAGGCCATATATGCCATATATGGTTGCTTAGTCAGATTGAGCATGATCTTTTTTGAGGCATCTTCCTTGCAAATCCACTGGACCGCTGGAGGTCTGGGTTGGGGCAATGATTTAGTTGCAGCTTGTAGGTTCCAGGCTCCATTTATATTTCACCGACTGAAATGAACCCTTGGTGTTTGGCAGTCAACCCAATAAGGAGACGTTGCATGCCGTGCGGGGGAAGTAAAGGTCCAGCAGACAAGGGCCCATAGTTCCCGCAGCAGACAAGTGGTCCAAATGCCGGGAATCCCAAAAGCTGGCCTTGAGGCTTGAGGACATTGCCCGGACACAGGCCTTGCCGTTGTGTTAGACTTATTTTGCCGTTCCTGGTTTCTTTGGGCTGGGCTCCCACCTACTACCCGGACGCATTTTTGTGTCTTCTGCTTACGCTTAGCAATCGGGTTCGACCAAACCCTGAGCACCTGAGTTGAAGCCTCAGCCCAGGATGAAGAAGCTGCTCGTAAGCGCTATCTTGACCACCTGTGCCTTGCATGGAAATCGTGGCCGCGAAGCCAGGGGAGCTTTGAAAGCCCAGCTCTCACTGTCCACGAATCCTATTCAGAGTACGAAGCACTTGAAAATCAAAACAATTCCAAACACCTCGCGTATTGAGGTGATGTTGCCCGAACACGCATATCCCAAACACGCAAGTTCATACCCAACACTTAGCATGAAATGGTACTTATCATATTTGTGTCCGGAATGAACATGACCAAAAAAGCAGAAAGCTAATACACATCCCAAGAACAGTGAAGATACGCACTTGCAGGGTATCACCCGAGGACGCTCACGTAAAGTTGGGCCTGTCTCTGCAACCTCCTCGCGGAAGCTCATCGATTGGGCCGAGCGGTGTTGAAGTTCCAGATTGCCAGCTCTTACCGCAAGCAGTTCAGCCCCACCAACGAGACAACCCCAAAGGCTGTGCACCACTTGCGTTCCACCACAGCAGTGTCAAGAATTGCATCTAGTGGGCGGCTGCAGAAAACGCCGGCTTTTCATGCCGAGGGAAAGACCAAAGAGCCCTTCATAGCAAGAAAGGATTCGGCAAAATCACTTGGAACCAGGAGGCCCCGGAGAGTATTTCACTATCCCTTGTTCCCTTTGGTTCGAGGAAGGCAAAATGGCTTGAGCTAGGAACAAAATGCGGGCAAGTCTCCCATGAACTCCGGAGGGGAGTTTCCAAAAGAATAAGTGGCTTTTCAATGCTTTTCAGGACTCACCAGCCATGAAACATGGCTTGTCGCGCAATTCAACCTTTCTTGACTTGGGCCCTGAACGAGTTTTTGTCTTATCATTTCAGGGAAGCCCGGCTCAGCCGCCAACCCGCGACCCGGACGTTCCCAATCTTGCTCTACTCTGGATTTCTGGCCGAGGATCGAAACCCCGGATTTCTGGCTAGACCCCCCGGCCCAGCGGCGGAAATGACATTTCATCACGTTGCATCCCCATTCTCCCCTGGGCCGGGCGGATTTACTTAAGGGTGTACAGTAGCTTGATATATACATAATATGGTCCAGCGTCCTTAAAAAAAAAACAAAATATTATCAATCGGCTACAATTTCACCATGAACTTTGTTGGAAGGAAACAATTGGGAAGCCCTCCTTCGGGGCGTTCGACTGGTTGCGTTCCTTCTGGCCTTCTGTTGGCAAGTCTAAAGCTTTGGCCGCCCTCTGAAGAAGGTTTTCTTTTGGGTATGGCCCTGAAAGTGGCAGTGGTTTCCACGACCCCATCTTGGGGCCGAATTTCCAGAGCCGCACCCCAAGTGGACCGAGGGCCGGCTCCCGCCGCTTTTGCTGCCGTAGAAGGGCGAAGCCAGCACCCTGGCTTTTGGCGGCAGCTGAAAGGCGCGGACGGGAAGCTTGCGGCGTTGGGCGATGTTTGTTTAAGGCCCCCTCTTGACGGTACGCCAACAAATGATTGCCGCATGTTGCCGCTGCACCAACCGCAAGTGAACGAGGAAAAACACGTCACTCCGGTTCCGCACATGGTGCTTAGTAATTACGAGTAGTTAAAATTAGGTTACTCCTAAGCTCGTGACTAAATTTGGTATGGCCGGCACCCGAAAAAATGTAATAAAATCATTTCGGCCCCATATTACTTGGAATGTTTGTGGAATCTTTGTGCCAATCATGTTCAAGTTCAGCGTAAGCTGCCAGAGGAGCCCCGTGCCACCCGGGAAGATGGTGGGGAAACAGCGGATGACGCATGGTTACGATATTCGTTGGCCATGTTGCACGTACTTTCCTTGATGCGAGTCTGTTGAAACAGTGAATGGCCGCTTTCCTGCGCAAGGCCGGACATTGGCACGAACACCGGGCCCATTTTTATTCAAGTGGGTATGTGTCAAAACTAGAGTCCTTAGAGATCCCCATGAGATTCAGGTGGGTTCCCTTTAAGTAGCCATTCCCAAAAGCGGGTGCCTGGTTTTGAGACGGCCTAAAGTGTGTGGTCAAAGAGATGCCAAACTCCGGGGCTTTCTGGATCATCTGCATCCATCCTTTTGACTGGGGCTGTTCAAACTCAGTATGTTTATAAGCTTAGGTTGACATGCAAACGTTGACATGCAAACGGGTCGAAGGTATGGTTTGATTCCCTAAATGCTGCAAGCCAAGCCACCTCAAACGATTCCAGATTTCTGATTTGGCCATGTTCCTATTGCAACATTTAGTGAATCAGCGGGACTGAGGGGCACAGCCCTTCTGATTTCTATGACCGGAGGCTCCCTATGTACCCCTCGAAGGTGGTCTGAACCATTTTTCGCCGATTCAAAAGTCAGGCGATGGGCGTAAAACATAGGATTGATATTTCTACTCGCGGTTGAGGTAAGTGCGCCAAACCGGCCGAATGTCTTAATTGCGGATCCTTTCATGGACATCATGTGCACGGTTACATGCGATCTACAAGCAGGACAGCACTGATAGACGAAAATCACACATCCCCAATGGGTCCTTCTCACCTCCGCTCGCAGCTCGCAAATGACTATTCGAAGTGGGCTCGGCAGTTGGCCAATCCAACTTCCAATCAGAAAATCACTTCGGGCAAACTGACATCGATCTGAAGGTGTTGTGAGAGAACGCGCAAGCCCTCCAACCGGGAAGATTCCTTCAGGAAATTCAATCCTCAGAGGGCTGCTGCCCCACCCGAGCTTTTTGTGTTGGCCGGATCATCCTCTTGAATGGAGTTCAGGTACCCCCAAAATGGATCAAAATGGGGGGGGGTTGTCCTGTTGGCTTCCCTAAGCCAACGCGTTCGGGTCGGCGCTTGACTATCTCCAGGTCCCTGGAAATCTCTCAGCGCAACTCGGGGCCCCCGGCGATCCTGCAGAAATCCTGCGCCCCAGCGGGATCGATGGCGATGGCCGAGATGGTTTGGGGATTCGAAGCCCTGGTTCTTGTAGGGCTAGGTCCCCCAGTAGTGCCTTTTTACCGTTCTTTTTTGGGGGAGGGTTCCCCTACTAAAATAGACTGCAGAAAAAAAAGCTACCCTTATTCTATCCTCTCTACTGGAGGACCTAGAGTCTTTAGAGGGGGGTAGATTAGGACCACCAAACCTCCGATTCGTCTCCAAACCCCCAGAATGGTTGCTGTCCTTTTGGTTGCCCTTTCAACCAACCCCACAAAAAATACGTACCCTCAAAAAGAATCCAAAGATTGAAGCCCGATGTCAGGTGCTGTGCATGCTTGTGTCCAAAGGGGTACTACTTGAAAAAGCACGCCCAAGTCGCATAGCTCAGGGATTTGTTTCGCGCGATGCAGAATCTGCGCAAGTTGATACAATAAGGATTCGTTACTTGAGATTACCACCTTGAAATGCAAGCCTTTGTCCAATCCATTTTCGGCATGACGGGCCTTAACAAGTTTGCAGCACGACCATCCGCAAGATGTGTTCAACGTGGCATGCTATTGCTTGGAAACGCGGTTGTTGCACAGCCGCTCTTTTCGCAGACAATTGCTGCGCAGCGAGTTCCACCCTTTTTCCAGTTTGGGCCTCTCTTGCATCCCCCCTTGTTTGGCCCTTTTCATCGATTTTACCATTTTGTTTGATGATGCTTGGTGCAATCCCCACTGAAGTTGCCAACCCGAAACGGGTTCTCTCTTTCTATCAGTTGCAACTGGGTAAACGTGAAGCGCCCAGGTGATCCGTTGGAGTTGCCCAAAGGCTTGCATAAACGCCCGATCCTTCTTGCTGAAGCTGGTTTTTGACCAAAAACACAGTCGATGTCCTAATTATTGAAAAACAATGCCACCAGGTTTACCAGCCTGGGCTCATAAACTTATTCACCTGGAAAAACTGGGTCCATATATATATATATATATATATAATATATATATATATTATGTGTGTGTGTTTATATAGCAATCGAAAGCTCGCCTTGCCCGATGCTTCCCATAGTGCGCATGTAGCCCCATGCTGTATGCACTCCTGAATGGGCTCGTGATTGCTGACAAATGCCACAAAGGTGGAACTGTGAATGAAACGCCCCTCCCTCAATTCCATTTTCAGCGGTGCGAAGATCATAATGATCTAATGTACACATGCCATGCCAAAACATATTGACAATTTCCGTCGACATCGCCACATATTTTTGGTGATCAGTCTGGGCACGAACTTGGCAAGGGTTCCGTCTTCAGTCGCCCCGGGTTGCCTTGCCCTCCCAACTTGCCATGGATCGCAACAGAAGGCCTCGAGGTATGATGGCATTTCGCACAAGAGGGTTCCCCAAGGAGCCTAAAATTAGAGGGTTCCCTCAAGAGGCCGAGGTTGCAAACGTCATGTGTTTGGCCCATAGGTCCTTCGGATCAGACTCGATTTGTGGAAGTGGCTTGGGCCTTTAGAGGCAAAATGAGGCAAAAGCCCGCCGCGGCGCCTGGTTCTGGTGGCAGAGTCAGCAGACCTCGCGGAGAAGTGGGTGCACCTTGGAGGAAAGTTGGGGTGGGGGGGGGGGTACTTCTGTGCAGGTCAACCTGGATTTTTACTATGTTTAACATGGAATTTTAGTCTGTGAGCGTGTGTAGAATCTCCGTTTGGGAAACCCTTCGGGGAGTACGCGGATAGATGTTGCATGTTTCTGGCGGCTAAAAGCCATTTGCAGACAGGCAATGCGCACATCTTTGATTCATGCATGCGTGCATGCACAGGCAGGATCTTTATATCGTGACAAAGCCATGTTCATCGAAGGAACACCCAGTTCAGCAATCAGCAACCTACGCAAAGCTAAGTAAAGCAAAGATGGCAGTGCAGAGTTCCCCCCCACCCCCCGGCCCCAAGTTTGCAGACATCGAGTTGGATTTCCATTGCTGGGAGTTACACGGGTCTGTCACAGGCGCGGGCACCATGCTTCAAGTTTGCTGTTGAAGAGGCCTCGCAGGGTGACGCTGGCTAAATCGAGCAAGGTATTTATTTGCACATATTGTGGTGACATAGTTTCAACTAAATAGTTGGCTGCCCTGTGTGCATGCAAATGCCCTGTGTGCATCAAATGCAGCAATGAATTCATGTGCTTCTCGAGACAGGTGCTGAAATATTCCGTCGACAGGAGATTGGCAGCATCGAGCACTACCCTACCGACCAGGGGAAAGAAATCACGCCAGAGAGCTTGTAGCAAAACCTCCTATCAAAGATGCACAATGGTTGTGGCCGGGCTAGATGATTGGTGGTGATAAGAAAAGGGCAAACAAGAGCAGAGACCCGCTTTTGCACCATCAAAATCACGGACGATTTCGCAGCGCTTGAGGCATATGATCTCCTGTGGACCGTGACACCGCACGAGCTCGTGAAAAAAGTGTCGGCGGATTCGCCAGAAAGTGCTGTCTGCTTGGGGCCCCCCAAGACACGACAGGCGCCAGTTCAGTGGATGGAATTGGTGGGGTTCAGGACCCAAAATGGAATCACCCCCAACGTTACAATTCTCTCTCTCTAGGGTCACCGGGCCGGGGGTACAATGCGCATGATGCGTATCGTGCAGGCTTTGGCTGATGTGGTGGTCTATCCATGATGCCGGGCTCAATCCCATTCTGGAGATTCTGGAGAGGATTCGGGCAATTACCTACCCTCCCACCAACCAGAAAGCAGCTTTCTGAGCCATTCACTTTTATGGGTGGTTTACTCCCGGGCAAGACTCGCACATGCCCGTTTTGGGAAGAGTACTCCATGCTGCCTGTCTACTCTCTGACGAGCTCGCCTTTTTGGGGGTGAAACAAATGTACCAATCCATGATGCAAGTCCCTTCCTTATTTGAGGTTTTGAAGTTCTGCAAGACTTGCAGATACTGTCCAGACTGTCCTCTTGGAGAGGGGGCCTGGTGACTTCCATCTCGGGTACACCCCACACTTAGACGTACTTAAGGGGAAAGCTGAGGTCAGCTGCTTTCCTGCTGCCCGGGAATTCGGGAAGAGCTCACCAGCTCTTTGTTTCTTAGCTGAATCGAAAACGGAAGCAAAGGTTGCATGGTCCCAAGAGGGCTTCATCCCTTTTAGATTGATTCTGGATCCTTCGTATTGAACAGGGTTGATGACCAACGAGTGATCAATTGGATTGGGCTTTCGCTTTCCTGCTCAAAGTTTTCTACGGCGAGCAACCATGTTGAACAGAAAACAAACATGGGGTTGTGCACGCAGCGCGAGAAGACAAGGTGTCCAAACTGTGTTGCGAGGATTGGAATGATGTCGTCGCATTGCAAGCAGATATTCAGAAGGCGATCTCGGGGACAAACAGGGACTTGGAAGAAGTCACCAATTTCTCACCAGGCGGTTCCGTGCAGAAAAGGCTATAGATGCAACTGCTCGTGCACTAAATCAGGTGATTAAGACCTTGAAAATCTGAAGCAGAACAAGCACAAGGTCTGAAGAGGCAGCATGAGTGCTGCGCCGTGGCAATCTTCCAGGGGCGGCTAGGTTTGCTGTTCGAGTTGCTACTTCGGTTTTGCTTTTGGATGAGCGGACAGTCGAGGGATGCTAAGGAAGCAAAACCGAAAGGACTCAAGTGATGCTCTGTTTCCCTTTGTTGTTCTTGGATTTCACTGTTGAATTCAACCATGAACAACAGACCCAATATTTGCCCTTCTCCAGAAAACAGAAAACTCAGAAGACCATATGGAAGCAGCCAAATTTGCACAAGCAGAAAGGCAATGCCAGAATGGAGCTGGCTTCCGTGGCAAATGAGACCTGACAACCCGTCTGAGGCATCACCTGCTGGCGTTTCTGGCGCCTCGCCTGCGAGTCGATTGCATGAGAGCACTGAGCGAGCCAGGTGCGTACGAGACGGGTTTTTAGGCACGTAGGAGCAAGCACCCATGGCCCCGCAAACATGGGGACCCTACAGCTTGAAACTGCGGAAAACTGCTGGAGACATTCAAAGCGGCATGGTTTCCTATCCCCCGAGCATGAGGGGGGGAGGGCGGAGGGAGGGAGGGAGGGAGGGAGGGAGGGAGGGAGGGAGGGAGGGAGGGAGGGAGGAGGGAGGAGGGAGGGAGGAGGGAGGGAGGGAGGGAGGGAGGGAGGGAGGGAGGGAGGGAGGGAGGGGGCGATCTTTTTGTCTCTGCCTCCGGAGAGCCAATGAGAAGGTAAGCCTTGCATGGCCTGGGCATCAAGTATGCTTGTTGCCAGCTGCGGGGGCATGCTTTGCGTTCCGACTGAAGGACTGGACTGAGTGGCTGTTCATTCCGCTGAACCTGATGGGAGCGGTGTCCATTTTCCTGTCGACGTTTGAATGCTGCGTGGCATTGAAGCGGAGGAGTTCCAGCGCAGTGCTTTCTCCAGGCACGCAGGTCAGGCGTCACACATGTCAACCATATGGCCGACGTTTTGCTCGCATGGCACACATCTCAACTGCCGCTGTGGACCCCATTGGCTGCAAGGGGTGCCGTCCGGGCCCAAAACCTATCACAAACCGGCCGAATGTCACCCCAAAAAAAAACGTGGAACCGTTTCATGGAAGCCAACCACCAGACACCTCGAAGATTGGGTCAAGAGCTTTTTTTGGGAGGTGCGTGGGAGTTGGGGAGCCCCGCGAAAGAGCTCTGACAGACAATGTCCCCATTCGCATTCCTCCAGTCCTCCAGCCGGATCTGAGCTTGTATTGATGCCATGAAGTGTTTTGCTGAAGTGTGGTTTGATGCCTAACACTTTGCTGTTGATGACTCACTCCTCAGGCGAGACTCCATTAAATATAGTTTGTGTTGGGGCTGCTCGGGGGCTTGAGCTTCCTGATCTAAGGTTCAACCAACAACAACAGCGTCATGTCTCTGCTACACTCCATCACGTCCACGCGCTTCTTATGCCTCTTGGACCTTTGCACGCTTCCCCGCATGCTTGCCCGTTGGAATTCGCGTCACAAGCGGAGTGCCATTGGAGTCCTATCATGTAGTTTGTAGTTTCAAGGTTCGACTTTGATATCAAGCAAGGTGGTCCGCAAATATGTCCAAATATCCGGCAACTGTCACATCGATAGGTTACGATGTGTTTGTAGATGTTGGGCTGCAATTCACTGGTGCAAACTTGCGTTTTAGAATAATGCTGGTCTTATTCAGATCGAACAGCGCGCATGTCGCCATTAAGTCCCGAGGCGTGTTGCAGACGCTTGCCCTTCTGAGCTTCGTTGTCCAGCGCCCTGGCTAGGTTGTCTTGGCTTCTCCTGAGCGGCATTGTTGTTTTTTCCCCACAAGCATGCAATCATTTGTGCACCAGCCAGAATCACACAGGGTTCCAAACAACTGGTAGCCAGAAGTGGTGTTTAACAGCGGGGTGTCTCTGTCGGGAATCAGACCACCTTTGGAGGGGCCCCCCAGCCCCGTATTAGTGTGCGGGTGACTAATCTTGCCGCCCGGCCCTCAGCAGGGAATGCATGAGCCCTGTAAACCTTCCCCATGTGGTTTCCTCTAAGGATATCCCCAGGTTCACTCCATTTCTCATTCCAGAACTCGCACCAGCAAGCTCATCCAATCTCATCCAGGTCAACATGAGGTATCTTGCTGAGGTGTCGACGGTAGTCGGACGCTGAGGCTCTGCGCCTCGCAGTACCTCTTAGCCTGGACCGGGGTGCCATGGCTAGTAGCACCCATAGGTGTCCTTTTGGTTGTTGTGGTAAAAAAATAGGTGGCCCTGGTTCACCTGGTGGTTTAATCATCTACCAGGGCCATCTAATTCCCCTAAAAGGACACCTATGGTAGCGCCGGTGTCCTCTCGGCCTGGGAGATATCGAGGGAGAAGCCTCCGGTTGAACTCCGAAGAAGCATAGAACATGCACCCGGATTATTCCTGGAATGCAATTGTCCGGTTGAAGGGACGGGTTCCATGTTTTTTTTGGACCGTTAAATCCTAGGTTAGGGGTTGCATGTTGGTCAAGCCAAGGAAATGACCATGTCTCATAGGAGCGACAAAACATGAGGCCCGAGAGCTCAACACCATATTTTGGTTGACAACACATGAAAACAATGCCTCCTTCCGAAATGAAGATGTGTGTCGTTCGATTTTATGATCCATAGGCCAACAATCCGCAAGGATATGTTCGAGGCTTGTACAAAGACGTGAAAGCTGCTTGGCCATGCATGCCATTTTTTTAATGGCCCAGGCCGCCTATTTGCTGAACCACATGTGCATCTACCATCAGGACCTGGATCCCAACAGCAAAACCTTTATGAATCCGGTCGGACCTTTTACGCATCTCCCGACTTGCCACCCGGTTAGCACCGTGAGTTGGGGGAGCCCAAGCTTTGAGAGGGCAACCGGCGCAGTCGCCCCGTCCCACTCCGCTCGTTTCGTAGGACATGATAGTGCTGGCCAGGGCCCCAGGATGCCGGGGGAGCGAGGGAGCGAGTAGATGAAAATTGCAAAATCGAAATTTTGGCGCCTTCGATGTTGAGCCAGCTCCCGAAACCCAGGTCGTTAGGTTGATGCTTGTTGGCGTGTTGAGTATGCTGCGGTTTGGTTCTACTTGTTTGGGGCTGCAAAGAACTTTGAGTTGTTGCTGACATCCCAGTCGGGCAACGGACTTTCAGCACACCTGTCCCGAGCGCCAAGAGTCACATGATGCAAACAGGCAGCTAGGCGTACATCAGCTCGCCCAGAAAAGGCGGTGAAGGACACTAAGATCTAAGATCTAGGCGCTTTGTGAGGGTCTCAAGGGCGCGGAATCCGTCCCAGTCGAACCGATGTTCAATCGACCCAGAGTCGATGAGTAAGATCAAATCATGACTCGGCTTTTTCACCCTCAGACCTGCTTTTGGACCTCGATTTTAGCTTTTGGCTTGAGATCCTAGCGGTTTGGAGGTCGAACAAACCAGAGAAGACCTTGCTTCACCTACACCATCACCCACAAGTTAGACAGAATGAAGCAAGCGCATGGGTATATATCTCTTTTAGTGGACCCAACAACGTTGTGGTTTTCCCTTTTGATTTCCTTCAAAACAAGCCCGACAAGGGTATCCTAAGAGACATCCCCACATGTTGCTTTGGGAGTTTGGATTTCCATTTGAGGGATCCCCAAAGACTCCGCCTCAAGCCGGAGCTAAAACCCTGTAAAACGAAGGCGGCCTTTAAAACGAAGCCCCAGAGATATTCCACGTTTGCACCTTTTATAACTCATTTGTTGGGTTCCGAGAATTGGTTGACGTGTTGCTCGCAGACCACCTTTTTTCCGGCGCAGGGCCAGGGTCACAAAACAGGTGGTGGGAGTAGAAAAACACCTTGTTCTTGACCGGCAGGCGTCGTCTCGCTTGTTGCCGCTCCAGATGGGCATGGATATTCATTGGAGACTGGTTGGC